CGTTCTGACATTCGAGGCATCGAGTCGAGCTGATTCAAGATGGTTTGATGAGGTTGATTTAGGTTCTTGTCGAAGATGATGGTGTACGGGCAAGATGCAGAGGCTCTTCAGCTCAGAAAGCAAGTGGGATCTGAGTCTGATCTCTTTTACCAGTGGATACTCCATGGTTGATCATTGGCAACAAAAAAGAATGTCGGTTGGACTCATTGGCAAAAAAAGAAATGTCCGTTGGACTCTTTTGTGCCTTTGTCTCAAAGGCGTTGAAACTTATATTTGCGACATTTTAAGGAACCCAAGCAGGCTTTTTAGGCATGCTCGCGTCATAAAAAGCCTGCTCGCTGGCTTTTTTTCAAATGCTCGGAATCCCAAACTTGAACTGCCCTATTATTGTACATGTGTACACTAAGAAGGCAGCTCAATCCAAGGAGGAAGAAACTTGAAAACCCATGAGAACCCAAGACTAAAGTCGTGATTGGTGCTGCATTGATCCAGTGTTGTATGGCACAGAGGGTGCCACAAGGGCAATTCTAATATGAAATTCTAGAAGAATACACTAATACCATCTTCCACTTGCTCACCAACCACAGGCTGCCACATGTTTGGTCTAATTGCACAAAAGGTATCAGTTGGCCTATGCAGCATGGTACCACCACTGATAACCAGACAACTCATCCCTTTTGATGATCTCCATTCTCATCCTTTAGGAATTGAATCATCAGCGGGGGTTTCTTGCAGGCCAAACCCCAAACCTGTCAAACCTTTTTTTTCAAAAAAAAAACATCAGACCAATTTTGGTTTCTTTTTTCTCCCTTTACTATGTCATCAACCCAAAGATAGTTTTGTGAACTCCTAGTGTTCTCTTGGTCTCTTCCTCTTATTTTCACTAGTTACAAATCTGCTTCATGTTTTTCCTCTATTTTCCAACTGGCTGTTGATGCACTGAGTGAATTATGAATAATACTCGACACATTAGTGAGCAGTATTACCTAAATGTTCATAACGTGAACAAATACAATGCTGAGCTGCTGCTCCTCTTTCCATTTCTTCTCAATCTTTGGTTTCTGCTGAATGTGCAGAATAAAACACTTGTATATATACTGCCTGTTTTGACCGTGCTACCTTGGCATCTCATTCAATTTGTTCTTCCTACTTAATTCATAAACTTACATTGAAGATACTTATTCATTCCTCTCATCTTGAGACCACAAGATCTTCTCTGCCCGTGTCAGAGTGCACAAGTTGGAGAGAAGACATTTCACAAGTGTTACACTTGTTTCAAGCTACCCAAGACTTCCGGTCTCAATACTGGCTGCCTCAGTTTATGTAATTCTTTTTCTTTTTTTCTTTTTTTCTCTTCCTAGTTTAGTTGCTAATTTCAGACTTATATAAGTCTTTGTTACCTGCTTCAACACACTAAAACAGGAAGAGCCAAGGCCTAGCAGGCAATCACGGATATTAGGTTTTAAAGTGTTACATTTTCAAATTCCAGACTGATTTGTAGGCCACTGTTGTTAGCACCATTGCCTTGCCCTTTTCTGTGTGTTTTCTTTTTTTCCTCATTTGTCCTTGGTCTTCCTCAACAAGTGCCTCTCATGCAGATGTCTCATGTGCCCTGGCCTTTGGCCTGTGCAACTTTGTGTAGCTACAGGACCCTGGAACACATCCACAGAGAGTAATGACATAGCTCAATTTTTGGTTTTTGAGCTCTACACTGAACACCACTCATTCTCCCACAGTCACCTGCATTGCAAAAGATGCACATGGAATAGGAGTATCAGATGAGCTTGGTCCAAGCCATGTAGCTTGGGTCCCTTGGGCATAAATCACAAAGACATAAGGAAATGGCCTCTGACTTTGATTTTAGCTATTCTTGGACTTTACACTGGGTTATCTCAGGAAGTATTGGTGCTTTAGTGGCTAGTATCCAAAAGCGCAAAATGTTGGAACTGGCCAAAACAATAAAGGTAAGATTACATACCCAAATTTAATGAATATTCATGATTGACATCACTCAAATCCCAGTCTTTCAGGTCAAAACAGGTGCTTTATTTTCAATCATCCATACTGGATCACCTCTTGGGCTTTGAATATATTACATTTCCCGTTGACACCTACGATAAACAATGCAATGTGACTGAAAACAAGCTGGAAGAGTTGGTTTTTTATTGCAAGCATGATTTCTGCTATAGTGATCACCATTAACAAAGCCAAGGCTGGGCTTTACCAAAATATCTAGCATTCTAGCCTTGGATTCTGTTTCAAGCTTGGCATATCTAACCAGGAAAGTCTTCCTTTTTTTCTTTGAATCTTTGCGGATTTTAGCTGAAGAATTTTTCCTTTGGTTTTGCTCCAGGCAATTGGAAGCATGGCTTCAAGAAGGCAAAGAGACAATGGAAATGATGTGGTAAACATGTGCTCTTGAAACACTCCAAAGGTTTTCTTGCCAAATTGCCACAAAAAATGATTGAGCTCTGGTAGCTTGGTAAGGGGACCTCATCTCCTCTTTATTCATAGTTTTCACTTGTCTTTATTAATCTGTTTTATCATAGGCGCACTATGAAAGCACACCACAGGCTCAAACCAAATTTCAAGTTGTGTAGGTCTCACAAAACCATTGCTCCCAACTCTGCAACCAATGCTAACCTTAATTGTAATTTTCCCCCATCACAATATTATTACTTTTATTTTTGTTCTCACTAATGGAGAAGGTCCCAAAGCACCAGAAATTGTTTTATATTTTTTGATCAAAACTCACATTCTATGAAATAAGACTACTTTGTTGTAAAAATCATGAAAATTTGTAAGCCCTCAAATTCACTCAGCAATATCATGATATGATAGCTATCAATGCAAGGATTCCAAATCTGTGCTTGGATTCCAATTTGGATCAATTTTGTCTCTCTGATAAGCTTTTTGGTCAAAATACCCATTTTCATGCCCTTGGACACTAGCCACTACAGAGGGTTAGAAGTTAGTGCATATGAAATACCTGCTTTTTGCGTATCTTTGGAGCTAGTGTGGTACAGTCAATATGAGAGCCATTGTTTTTTTAAAGTGCATCATGTTGCAAAATGTGTTTTTCTACTTAGACTTGACTGAGTTTTGTTTCTCTGCTAATCTTGAGAATATTAAGAATACAAAACCTGCAAGAATGTTGTTTGGTTGGTTTTGACCACTGCGGCAATGCAAATGCACCAGTTGTAATTAGAAAGTGGAAATGTGGGGTAACTAAACTCACAAAACCTAGTATAAAAAATACTAAAGCGGATAGAATGTTTTGGGCAAAACCCAAGGCTAATCGCCAAGGGTGATAAATTTCTGATAAAACATGAGCACACCCTACGGGGTGGCTAGCGGACCTAATAATATACTTCTCAAACAACCAAAAAACCACAACACTACTATAAGATAAAATGAAACCACTAGAACTAACCAAAGACTACTACCATAACAACACAACATGAGAACCACCAAAGTTATCAAAAACAAAAAATCAAAAGACAATAACACCAATTTTTTTTAAAAAAAAACAAAGAAACCACACAAAAAAGAACTAAATTTATTGAGAATGAAAACTGCCAACTTCTAACCATCAAAACATACCAAATGAACATAAAGAACTCAAACAACACACCAAAAGAAGGGATCAAAAAAGGCAGGGCGGGATCAAAAAATCACTAGAGAAAAGGATAACCTTCAGAAGAAAAGGATAGATGAAAGGAAACGGTTGTGAACACTATGGGAAAGAGCTTGATGAAATTCGGAGAAAGTGGTAAACAGCATGACATCATGACTGTCAAATCTAAAAGATACAAACAGAATCCGACCCGTTAGCATAATTACACATACATATTGAAAGCCCGAATTACATCACATTCCCAACCGTTAATGACACGTTACCAACAACTATGATTTTGTACCCAAAAATCTCGTTACAAAAAGGTCGGAGTCTACGTCACCTGAAGGTGCATTCCAGGGTCCGTCATCCAGAGTGTAATGTATAGAGCATTGATGAAAGTGTTGCAACAATTGTCATGTGCTTTCCTCAAACTTCTCTACCACAGAACGCGGACGTCACTTGTTTAGCTGAGCATTTCCATTAGTGATGTGATGTCATGATCGTTATTATCTCGATCTTGTGTTTGTGTTATCATCACCTTTGCTAGTATTTTGACAGGGTGCTGTGTCTTTCTTTGGCTCGATTTCTCTCTTCCCTTATCAGTTTGCTTGTTTCTTCTAGATCATCATCATTTATTCTTTGGACAAAGAAATCATATGACGCTTACATGAATTATCTATTATCTTAGGAGAGATTCCGGATTCATTGTGATTTGACAACCCCTATTTCCTGAAGGAGTTCTGAGTCATTAAACCATAAAGCAGATCACTATATACACAGACACTCCGTTTGGCACCCGGGTAGAAGTACATCTCACTTCGCATCGAGGTGGGCTCTCGATGTAGAGGGTTTGATAGGAGAGTCAAAGAAGAGGTAACAAGTTTTCGTAAGAGGTGGAAAAGACGGTTGCTTCATTTTTATTTTTATTTTTCATTTATCAAACAAATCAGAGAACATAACGATAAGAAAGAGAAAGCAGAAGGGATTTAAGAGTTGAAACTGTAGAAAAGATTGGATTTTCCTTTTATCACATTTTAGATGACCATATAGTGTGTAATGTTATAGCAATCGCACTTTAAAAAAAAGCAGACAGAGTGTAGCACAGTTACAGTGCCAAGCAGGGTCCGAGCTTGAAGGAGCTTGTGCCCAGACCCGTGGGCGTGAGACCATACCTAATGTGATTTGAAGTCACACGTCAACGATGTGACAATTTGTCAGATTTTGTGTGTGGTCGGAGAGTCTGAGTAGTCAACTGCATACGTGACTTTTCCTCGCAGGCGATTACTGATTAGAGTTCAGCTTAACACAAGGCCTCAAAGCTACATTGGAGTTTATATATATGACCGCGGACACTTCGGACCTCAGCGTTCCAACCTGTTCCAACCAATTTTTTTTGGAACTCGAGTTATTCACTTCCATCTTTAAATCCTCAAGTCATCAAATCATCATACGCGGACTTACAACATCTCAAAATGAATTCCTATGAAACGCTTTCAACCTACCAAAAAAACGTACAAATCTCAATAGAAAATCTTTCTAAAAGTTTACAATTACCAAACTTATCTTATCATCTACCAACGATTCTAATCTCATGTTCTTCTTGTTTCATCTTACAATTCTTATCTCATCAATTTTCACCTAAACTATTTCCAAAACATTATCCCAATTTATCATCTTTTACTAAATTTAATTGGGATACTCATTTCGTGGCTTGGGTTCATTCATTTTATGGTACTTTTATTGGTTTATATTTTATTTTGGATCATAATGATTGGTTTCGGAATTTACATGAAGACAAAGTATTCGGTTATCATCCTAAAGCCATGTAAGTCTTTTGCTTTTCTATTTGAATCAATCGATACCCTGTTGATTACTTCTTTGAACTGATTTTCTTAACTTGATGTTCATAGGAACCTTCTGCAAATTTCAACGGGTTATTTTCTCTGGTAAGCTTAAATGATGTAACATTGATAAGATTTTCTTTTAGATGAAGCTTTGGCTTTGTTCCGAAATTGGCAAATTGAAAGTTAAACTCTACAACCGATGATATAGGGATATAGCTGTTAGTACTTTGATGGCTTTGAAGGGGCATGGTTATGCTTTCCTTTTACATGCAGCAGGTTCTTTCGTAGTATATTTTTATACCATGAAACCTTTGACTGGATATTATTTATTTCTATTCCTTCTGGTAAGTGTGTGATTTAATTCTTTATCAAATAGAAAACTTTACTGATACTTTTTGGCCTCACGTTTGTGGAAACAGTGGGAAACATCTACTATCTTTTTGAACCCGCATTGGTATTTTCGACTTTTACTCCAAAAATAGATATCTTGAATCTTTTTCTGATCTTTCTTCACACTTTGGTTTGCAATTTCAAGGTTTTTTGATAAGATCGGTATGGCGGGCTCTAAAGCTCAAATGTTTAATGGAATAGCACTCTTGTTATCATTTTTCACATCGAGGTATATACCAACAAGACTTATGAATCGTTATCAAAATATCATGACTGATATGATCTTCTTTTTGAATAGGATTATATTAGGCAATTATGTTTCCTACAAACTTCTTGTTGATGTATTTCAACCTGATGTCAATAAAAGGATCGGAGTGACAAACACATGTATCATCCTATTTGTAGATATCTCACTCTCACGTATGTTCCAATACATTTTTTCTTTTATAAATCATGCTTTTTTCTTTTATAAATTATTTTGATGAAAATGGAATATAATCTGATCTTTGTTCTCTACTTTCAACTGATATCAGTTTTGAATGTCCACGTAAGCCTTTTTATCTTTTGACTTTCTTTTTTATAAAATAGATGAATCGATATATTGAAATGGACTTCTCTCAAATAAATCAAAGTGGTTTTATTTGATGATTACCAGCATCAAGAAACGAATGAACTCAAAACCGATCACAAGTTCTAAAAAGCAAAGTTAAATCGTTAAATCACAATCTACTTCATTCTGGAACATTTTTTTTCATGGAATACAATCTCAAATCATCTTTTTTTGTTTCTTCTTTCTAAAAATCTATTTGCATCTTTTTTTCATCCTAGATAAAGTTTCTTGCATCATTTATCTCTTTATTTTTTCACTTTAAATCATGTAAATGGAGGATTTCTTTCTATCTTTTTTCTTTTATATATGCATATGTTTGTTCATTAATAAAGCTGTCATATTCACAGGATTTTTCTGTTTTCCCCTTATGTACATGCATTGCAATTCATTTCATCTCTCTGAATTTTTTCAATTATCATTGTTGAAATGTATATTTAGGGTGTTCAAACCTGTGCAAGAACTGTGCAAGACCGACATGCAAGATTTTTTGCACTAATCTTGCACATTAATTTTTTTGACAACCCGAGTTATTGTGTTCCAAACCGCGCAAAAACCGTGCGAGACCGACTCTTGCAAGTTTTGAGGTTTGAACACCATAATTGCAGATATCATCCAAATTTGAAGAATTTGTCAAACAAGAATTCCTTTGGGGATTTGCAAAAATACTGAAAATCAACCCAGAACTGGTCCTCTAACCACCTGGATCATAATCTGGGTTCCAAGCGCACAAGACTTAGCTTGAGTTGGGCAAAAAAAAGGTTAGCAAGCTTTTGAGAGGCGTCACCAAGCTGGCAGTTTGAGTTGCAAGCAACTAACCACCTGGATCTCAGAAAAATGACTGTTGGAAACACCAGCGCAACCACTTGCAAAGCCTTTCAAACGTCAGGCACAAGACAAGTTGAATGGTGTTGACTCCAATGCAGCTTGATTTCACTCTGTTCATGCTCAGCATGATCACAATGGACAATTTGGCCTCTTTCCGCTCTGTAAAACCTATCAACACCTACTACTTGGTCCGTTGCTGACAAAAGCTAACGTTGTAGGCATTTCAGTCAGGAGTTGTGACCTTTCCATCCCTATTCTCCTATCTTTTAGTCAAAGTCAAAAGCCGTCAAACTGCTATATATTGTCTTGTAACTCGCTGCAAACCTGCGTTCGCCAAGTCTGAGAAAGTATGGCAAGGGCAAGCTGATCATGAGAGGTTGTGATCTCATTATGTATTGAGCTGATCTATATTACGGTTTGGTCACTTGCTTTACAAATATATGTACTCCTAAATCTGACGGGGAATGTTTTAGTATACGATTGTAACATTTATTGAAGTTTGGCTTGCTTTGTTTGATTTGAATACATTTCCTCGATGAGATCAAGTCTGATTTGTATACGATTGATTAAGATCATACTTTTACAATGGATGAAGAGAAGTGTAGAAATGGGTTTTTGTAATTTCAAAAACTATCCACCAATTTTCTACTTTCATCCATCGAACTATCCAAATTAAATTCAAAAATATTATTCACAGTTCTCTCAAATCGATCGATCATGTTCAACAGACCTCATTATATTCCTAGAAATAGAAGACAAAACTTATCAAAGTATAAATATTCTGGAGAAGATCATTCGATCGTTTCAAAATATGTCTTAACACCATATTGGAATCGATTAGTGACTTATTTCCCTATGAACATGGCACCTAATCTGATCACATTAACAGTTAAGCATCAATTTGACTATTATTCTTTTGAACGACATCTTAACTGATCTTTTCGTCTTCGTTTGTAGGGTTTAGGATTCGTTTTAATCAACTTTGGAAGTTTATTAATCTTTGAACCAAGTTTAGAATGTTCCATTAAACCAACTCATGTTTCAAGAGGTGGAAATTGGGATCCACTCTTTCATATTAAAAGTTTTAAATCTAGTAATTGGATTCACAATCAATCTACCTTGGTTCAAAAATTTCAATCTTACATTGGATTGGGTTCTTCAAATCATCGTTGTCCTAGTGGTTTCTTATATCTAAGGTAAAGAGAAAAGAAAAACTCATTCGATTTTCAATTCCAATGATCTCATCCTTCCTTCTGGGTTCGATCGCGTTACTGAACTTCGATTGGATTTCTTTGGGGTGACGGATAGTTTTGCGATAGGATTATGGATTTATCAAAGTTTAGATGCAATCGATGGTAAACAAGCAAGGAGGACTGGTACATCTGGTCCATTAGGAGAAATGTTCGATCATGGTAAGTGGTTTGAATCTCTACTTTCTTTAAGTTATCAAATTTTCATCCCCTTTTACTTTTTGGGTGGTAAACTAGGTTGCGATGCATTAAATACCACTGTACGTCATATTTTCCAGATCGTATATCGATACTTTCACTTTTAGTTGACTTTCGAATCATCAACTTTAGCTTGGTTGTATCTTAGCCTCAGGAGCATTGAACTTGGGGCAATCATGGTGGACAGGTAAGTACCATCTTTTTATTCTCTTTCAGATTTAGATCATGAACTTATAAGATCCTTATCGTATATCTCAGTATCCTCACAAGTAGCATCACTTGCCAACTTTTACCTAACAACATGGGAAGAATATCATACTGGAGTAAGTCCAGAAATCATAGTTGAATTTTGAATCCAGTTAATCAAAAACTGATTCATTTTTTGTTACCTTTCTTTTAGACACTTTATCTTAGTAGTTTTAGTGGACCTGTGGAAGGTATTCTTTTAGTGATTGGTGTTTTCCTTATTACTAGTGTTTTTGGTTGGTGTTTTTTTGTCTTTGAATTCTTCTTACTCAGATCAAAGTGACAAAAACATCTGGTACGAAATGTGCGATGATCTTTCACGTAGGTCCTGGGTTCTGGGATCAAGGTATTTTGACAGTAACGGGTTTGAACTCGATTGGGTTTATCAAATCGCTTCATTTAAAGGATTTACCACTCAATGAATGTTCTTTACTCTTTGCTATCATCAGCTTAGGATCGAATACCGTGGGAAGGTGAGTATTTTCTGAACTGTTGGTCCACGCCGTTCGAGTAATCAGCTCATATGTCCTATTTACGAATCACAGTTATTTCAACGTTGTTAAAGCTCGAAAAGGAAAAGGAGGATCCAACCTAAGCACACTCTTAGGCTTATTACCTTTTGTGATTCAGACGGTAGTCAACTTGATTTGGTTAAAAACAGCACCAATGATCTTAAATCGACATTTGATTCTCTTCATGATTTATTATGGAATCGGATTTGCTTATCTAGTTGGACTCTTAATCGTTTCTCATATCACTCTTTCACCTGAATTGTTTCCTTATTGGAATTTACTTTTGATTTGGTCTTGTTTTGGAATGATGGATTCGGTTTCGGGTAATATGTTGGGTTGGAAAACTTTGTTTCATTCAGATGAATTGAGTTCGGTTAGGTTTCTTTGGTTTAGTATTCTTGTTGAAACTTTGGTCTATGGATATTTTGTATTTGATGTGATTTTAGATGTTTGTGATTATTTTCAAATCAGTTGAGTTTTTTTTGCTTTCTCTTTTTGACACGATATAAATGAATATGAGAGAATGCTAACTTGTTCTTGGATGTCTTTCTTAGATTGTTTGACTATTAAACATCAAGGTCAAAGATTAGGTAATACTAGAAAAGAACAAGAAAGTTTGGTTGACAAGAAAAAATCGTCGAAACAAAAGTCAAAGTGATATCAATATATAAAGAAAAAAGTGTGGGTATAAGAGATATTTATATATAAATGTATGAAGAGGACGGGAAAGCTTTAGATTGGTGTTTATAGCTTTTTTTATATCAAAATTAATCAAGATTCATTTAAGATTGGGTGCAGGTTTTGAGAAATTTTGTTTCTTAGTTGTTTTTTTGGGGGGGTGTAAAAGTTTGTTTTGAAGAATGTCTGTTTATGTTTTATGACTTGTTGAGTAAATTATAAACGTTGGAGGTAGATGAGTTTTGAATAACAGAGAAATGAGTTTTGCATGATGTTTGCGATCAATTTGATAATACATGGTTGTTTTATAGTATGGTATAAGAATTGGTTGGAGCTTAGATAACTCTTGCTAAACTTATGAAAAGAGGTCTAGCCAGAATCAAGGTCTGGAACAAACTTGACAAGTTTCCTTCATAGCCACGAGAGTCAAGATGGACTGTGGAAAACATGATTTCTCTTGAGCTTAGCACCTTTTGTCCTATCAAGAATTTTCACCCTATCTTTGGACACAGGGTGATGTGCTTTAGGTTTTTATTGATCAGGGGACTAATCAACCATTAATTTGAAAGCTACCAAACACAGCACAATTGGGATATGTGACCGGGGAACATCTCTCATGATATGATAGATAAGAACAGCATTGGAAAACCCATCCTCAAAACTTCTATCACAGCATGACAAACAGGCAGATCAAGAATGTTTGGTAGTACAAGAGTAAGAAAACAACATGTATTTTTGTCCTCATATTGCTTGTTTGCTTTGCATATGTGTACCCACTAGATGAATCTAAGCCAGTTTTTTTGTCATGTCTGAGCCCTTGGAGAATACTGCTATCATTCTAACCTCGATGCTTCTTCTTGCTGGTGAAGATGGGGAATTTGGGTCTTCAAATGATGCATGAGGTAAAGACATGTGTCCTTTAGCAGCACTATCATATTGTACGAACATGGCCACCTCATCGGGACCTTGCTGGTTAAGATAATACCATCTGTTCTTGGGGTTGAAACTCCATTGTATACAAGCAGGCCGTTCAGGACCTCGTGGTCTGTATGCATGTGAATCTTGTTCTATGTCAACAGATCTCCAATCACATAGTGCCAATGGATTCTTTTTGATGACCTGGAGTGGTCTCCAAAGATGAAGGATGACCACCCTATTATTTTCGTCTTCAGCAAGTGCCTTGAACTCTTTTACTTCTTTACTATTCAATTCACAATCCGCAATAGCTTTTTTGACGGTTTCTTTTGCACTTTCTGGCGAGAAATCGGAATGGACACTAGGCACAGGCGTCCGACTGCGACCCCCGGCCTTCATATCATCATCTTGATCTCGAACCCGCGAATTGAAGGCATACACCGCATCGGCATTTGTTCTGTGCCTCATCATGTGAATCAGAACGGAGTCGTGAGAGAAAAATCGTTGATCTGAGTCCTGACACTCACATCTTTTTGACGAGCTCTTCAGCTGCGGGTCTAAGTAATTCATCATATTCCTTATCACTCTTACACTCCTCAAGCCCCAGGACCTTGTCCCTCACATAAGAAAATCCATGAACATCCCATTTGAATTGACTCTCGAACCCTCGAATGTCTTCGATCACGACCGGTTGAGGGATTTGTACTGTTTTCAAGTGATCTAGGTGTGCTTGTCGTCCTAAATCGACTTCTTTACTATATTCTAAGATGGCACCTTTTTTGCAATATCTTAAGGTAGTCTTCACATCCAAGACCGCTAATGAATCATACCCCAAGTAGTCCAAGTTAGAATCACTCAACAAACATACACATATAAGCAAAGGCAAAGGGTACGTCAAATAAGGACCTACCGTCTGGAACCAGAGCAGCAGGCACTGCATTCACGTGTTGCAAAAGGTGCAAGGCTGTAGAAACAGAAATTAGAGTGATATGCATTTGGACACGAGAGTGTTGGAGTATGACTATGAGATTAAGACAGAATAACTTTTTAATTATTAAAAGTTGTAAAACAAACAAGACTTTGCATATGTATCTTGAGAATGGTAGGTTTGTCTGAGAGATATTGAATGAAGACCAACTTGTTTGAGGAATTTATACCTTTTCATGTTGTTAGCTCATTATTAATTTCAATATCTTTCGTCATCAAATTTATTGAGCATTCGGTCATTTCCAAGTCTTGAAACCCACACTGATTCATCGGATCGGATCTATACCGCGTCTCATCCCGCGGTTCATCCGAATGTCTCATGAGAGTGGAGTACAGTCAAACCCGCGCACATGCATACCCGCGCACATGCATAACCAGCCAAAATGCATATGTTTTGGTTTCCACCCAGCTGGTGCAGGCCAATTTTGTCATTAATTGCATAATTATGTCAAAAACCATAATGCATACTTCTTTTCAAGTCCCCAAAGTCATAATGCATGCCTACAAAGCGCCCCAGGATGTGTTTTTTTTTCATTGAACTCTGATCGAATCCTTTGCAAGTAGGATTTTGGCAACATCAGGCAGCAATGAGCCCTCTATGGGGTCAAACCAACCCCTAGTGGTGTTTTTTTCTGTGTCGAAAAAATATCTTGTCCTTTCACCCGCGCAAAATACAAACGTACTATTGCATAAACTCATACAATTTCAACAAAAACCCGTCATAATGCATATTTCAATGCATTTAGGCCTAAATGCATACAATATGCATTATGGGGGTTTATCCCTATTTGCATAACCCGCAATAATGCATAGCAAAAATTGTCTCCCCAATTTATGCATTAGCGCGGGTTTGACTGTACTCAAATTCCATACTGCAATCAAATTATACCAATTCAAATCCTTACCGCGAGATGGCGATCTCGGGAGAAATCCCTTCCAATTCTTGAATCAGCTATCACAGCAACCGGGATGCGGATGACTGAGTTAGAAAGCCCTATGAAACCAGCGGGGAACCTTCCTTGGCGTAAGTCATCAAAGGAGGAGTGTCCAATACAAGATCTTGTGGAAAGTGCACGAAAAGTTATAGCTTTTCCGATGTCTGATAATGAGCAGCGCACGATGAGCACCAAGCTCGTCGGATGTTTCCACCGGACGGGTTGGTGTTGTTACGCCCAAAAAACTATTACATCAGTCGACAGAGATTGGTGATGGTAATGAGCTTACTCAACAAACGGAAACCCCGCGCGACAGTCTCAATCCTTGATTCAAGTCTCACCACACTTTTTTCATCGTAAACTCAGCTCTCTCTTGCAGCCACGACAGGCCTGATATTCCGCTAAGTCAAGTGTCAATCAAATTGGGATTGTGTCTTTGAACATGGGTAAAGGTGCTACTGATGGAGAACGGTTGAGGGTCTACGGAAAAAAGGTTACATGCATATGAATTAAAGTTTCTGATGCAAGCACATCTTAGACTGTTTGAGTTGTTTAGTTGTCGTTCTGAATGTGACCCTTTTCTTACAAACAATCTCTTGTCAGGTCTCTACCTTGTTAAGGCTTTGACCTGATGTTTGGGGGGGCGAAGGTCGTTTTATGGGCGGGGCGGGTGGGTGGCCCATGAGAACTGTTGTTCTACATCTCTACTTGCTTGTTTGTTGTTTTCACAACTACACCATAGAGTACATGTTTAACTCTACCTTTTTTTTCAACTCTTTTATTTTCTTTGTTAGATATGTGTCTGCATTACAGCAGTTTTGAGAATAAATGTTGCCTGCTTGTTTTTATTTTTTGTTATTTTTTTAAGGTTGAATTAGAAATTTAATGAACTAGATTCTACATAAAGTGGCTGTAGTCAATTGATGTGCTAATTTTCAAGTCTCCTCTCACCTTTCCACTGGTTGCAACTATCACTACCAGGATTGAACACTCTCCCAAATGGAATAATGTATTTTTTGCAATCATTAATGGGCATTTATATGACAATAATTATGATAGGGGGGCTCAAGTCAAAATATTTTAATACTTTTATCGTAATTTTTTTTTCCCAATTGCATAAAATTTACGCAAAATTTTATGCAATTGGGAAAAGTTATACAACATCCCAAATTCTTTTAAGCAGCAAATTTACGCAAATTTGCATAAATCTGCTGCTCAGACAGAGATCCGAAAGAAATTTTTACGGTCCTTTTTTACGGATTGGGAAAAGTTTTTACAGCACGGTACCGTAAAAAACTTTCCCCAAATTTTTAAGAAAGGGCCGTAAATATTTCGACTTGAGCCCCCTTACTTATTCCAAAAAATTAAAAATATCCCAATTGGGAGGGTGTTTAATCCTGAGAGTGTATACCAAAGGTTGTGCATTTCCGGTACAAAGAAAGGAATGATTGTGAAAGATAAGCAAGATTGTGATCTTTCACAATCCTTGCAACCTTGAATAAGTTGACTACAGCTCTTATGTAGAATCTAGGTGAGTAAGTTTTGGTGTAATCTTAAAAAATAAAAAAAAGCAGGCAACATTGATTCTTGAAACTGCTGTATTGTCACATCTGTGTCTTTGTCTTTGTAGGGTGGAAGGGATGGATTTTGACAATGAATTTTATGTTTTGTTTGAGGATGTGCTTAAATATTGTAGAGTTATAAATTTGAAGTTTTGAGATGTATGAGTCTGGAGAGGTGTACAGACCTGTGAAGGTGAAAATTTTCACAATTTGTTGTACAGTAGATTTCAAAAGTCTTGAAATCTGCTTGTTCTCAAAATCCACAGATGGTCCGTGCGCCTGGCAGTTAAGTTGTGACGGGTGTCAAACTTACCTGGCCAAACAAAAAAAATACAGACAAAAAGATATCATTCTATCACGCCAAATAACTCCAATCTGCCTCAATCTCAAAACTGTTGTGGCTTGTTTGGTTGAGTGGCTCACTGGTGTGTTGTGGTGTTGGCCCCTCCAACTGTTAATTGCCTGAGTTCACTCCTGCCTTTTGCCATTTTTGCACCTTATATTTCAAATGTTTCTTTTTTTGTTGCCCGTTGTCATGAAACAAAACAAAGAAGAAAGCAACTTTTGTTGTTGTATTAGTTTTTTTGTTGACTAACTTGACAAAAATAAGACTTGGATAAAGATTAAAAGCACAACTCAAACACAAAACTCATCTACATGACATGCAGCACAACTTGACTGTCTACAACCACTACACCACCAACTAATGAGAGGTCCGGTGAGTTTAACAAGTTCCATCTCAGATTTTTGGTTTTAACATGTGTATTTTTTTTGATCAGCCAGGTAAGTTTGACACCTGTCAAAACTTAAATGCCGGGCGCACGGACCATCTGTGGATTTTAAGAACAAGCCAATTTCAAGACTTTTGAAATCTACTGTATGTCTTCTCTCTCTTGGGGGGTTGGTTCATTCCCTGGCCCTGAAATGAAAAGATGTGGATATGAATCTATGTGTAAACCTGGACAGAGAAGTGTTAGATGAGTTATAAGATGACTCAAAGATGTACACAAAAGACGGTTGGAGGATTCAACACCTCATTAACTGGACAGACAGGTGTTAGATGAGTTTTAAGATGACTCAAAGATGTGTACAAAATACAGGTGGAGGATTCAACACTTTACCTGCAAGTGAGCAGGAAAAAAAACATGGTAGGGAAGTCTATTGTAACACATGAGTACTTGTACAGATTTGAAGAGAATCACACAGCTGAGAGAAAAAGAATAGAGGAAAAATTGCTTACCCTAAGCATTCAAGTTCCACACAGTGAGGAGGGAACAAGGAGCTTGAGAGAGGCAGAGTATAAGAGTCAGAAATTAACATGCACTGTGGTTATCAATTTATGGGGTCAATCAAAAAACTTATCATTAGTAGTTTACCAGTTTACCAGAAAAGTTTAGCAGGAAAGAAAATCCAAAATGGAGGTTTTTGATCAATTGAAGGTCTTATAGGCTTATGTATTGATCATTGGGTTAAGATTAAATCATTTTGTTTCATAAAATTTATTAAGATCATTATAGTTTACTCAAAATCTTATTACAAAAAGAAAGAAAAGAAAAACATAAGAAAAATTCAAAAATATAGGTATACAGGCTTGGAAATGGTTTTTAGGGTAGTAATATTAGGTTTATGGGTTTATTGAGGTTAGAATATGAAAGAAAAACATTATATTATACTGTAACAATTTCAATATCAAAGGTTGATAGGGAGAAACAGAAGTTATCAGGGGAAAGGCACTTTTTTGAAGCTGGTGAACAGGGGTTGTACGTGTAGTTTACATATGTAATGGTGGTAGTAGTAAGATTTAGGGTTGCCAAGAGGATTTTCCGGGATTTTTAAAGTTACAGGGGATGATTTCATATTAAATGAGCAAGAAAAGAAGAGTAACCGCTGTGAAAAGTAGTGAAAATGGGTGAAATTTGTCAAAAATGAAGGGTTTCAGCTTATTACATATGACAAATGACGTCAAATTATGATGGTAGATAGCTCATTCAACGCAAAAAAGTGGATTAAATAATGTACAGACATTGAATCACTAGTAGCGGAGGTGTATGAAAGAAGGTATAAGGGAAATAAGAAATTGTTGTGAACTTTGAATTTACAGTCACAAGCATACATGTAACACCAAAAACCTTAATTTTACAACTCAATAACTCATTCATCACTCATCAGAAATACCTGATATGGCGCCATTTATTAATCAGTATCGCGAGCTCTACAAGATTCACTTTAGTAATCCAAAATTGGACCTCATCTGAAAAAATTGTCATCTCAAAAATTGGTTTTCAGCTAGTTTACAAGAAAAAAATCACATGTATTCATCATAAGAAGTGCTGTACATCATACAACTATGTCATTTATCACTTTTGGCTGTGTAAATTACATCATAAATTAGTAACATAATCATTACACTGCATCATCATAGGGTTTTTAGGCATTTTTGGGCGGAATTGATTGGTTTTGAGGCTGTTGACCATTGTAAAAGTTGTAACACATTGTTATATATACTCTATG